TAGCAATTATGAAAATCTACTGGTGACACTTTGTAGACTTTCTTTTTCATTTAGTCTCTACCATATTACACACACACACACACACATGCACACACACACACACACACCTATGCTTGTTTGCTTTTTAGTCTGGCAACCCTGTATAGTAGAAAGAAAGATTGTGACCAAATTGTGTAATGTTGCTATGTGGATTTCCAGGAAAACATTTCAATGTCATTTGACGGTTTGAGATTAATAAAAATAATCTCTGAGCTCCTTTAATTTCAACTCTCAGTGACATTTGTAAGAGAATTTTTTTGTTTAAAAACATCATCCAAAAAGACTTAAATATTTCACCTGGAATATGTACCGTATCTAAAAAGCAAAAAGCCAAATCATTTTCCTGGTAAGATTCCCTGAAGGAATACTTCAAAAGGCCTAAACATGTCCAAGGTGGCTTAGGTCACATGCTCTCTCAAGCCTCAATAATGTACTTGTCTCGCCTTCTCAAATCATTTTGATGGCTCATCTGACAGTTAAGTAAAACCTGGTGATAGAGGAGGTTCATTACAGTTTGGATATATTTTTTTCAGCTAATCGGTGAGGCCAGAAGTAGTACTGTCAAAGCAAATTCCACCCTCATAGATTAGGTCTGTGACCACTCGCTGGCCTTCCTCAAACAGATACGTAGCCTTCCCATAAGCTTCTGTTAACACACAAAATGTGTCTTAAACAGGTGGCCGTCTGCTTCTCTTGCTCTCATCTGTATTTACTTGGGGTTCTTTCTCTGGGGAACATCCCTGAAGATGCTGCCATCTCTGGACTGATGCTCTTTTCTCTACAACAGCATTCCAAGAGTGCACGTCAGCATTGCACTTAGTTAGGTAATTAATGATCACCAGCAATATGTTGTGTTTTTTATGTTTGTTTTCTTGTTATTTGGAGACCCTAAAATATCAGTGGTTTCATTTAAGAATAATCTTTTCTGGAATAGAAATTTCTTTTGGACTCAGCTAATTGTGTGTGAGTGCTGGTGTGTGGAATGCTTGTGTACACACTCGTGTGTGCCAGAGGTGTCTGTGGTTCCTCAGGAGCTATCTACCCTATTTTTGAAATGGGGTCATACTGGAAACTGGGGCTTGCTGATTAGGCCAGGCTGGCTGGCTCCCTGCCCCAGGGACCTATCTGCCTGTCTTCTGCACCAGTGCTGAGATTACAAGTGTGCACCAGTGCTGAGATAACAAGTGTGCACCAGAGCTGAGATTACAAGTGTGCACCAGTGCTGAGATTACAAGTGTGCACCAGTGCTGAGATTACAAGTGTGCACCATCACACCCAGTTTTTTATGTGAATTCTGGGGAATCAGGCTCAGGGCATGCTTGCTTAGAAAGCACTTCAGCCTCCGATCCATCTTCCCAGCCTCTGAGATTCTCTCTTCTTCCCTTCTCAGTGTCATTTGGTTTTTTATTATTGTTGCCAAAACAGGATCTGTTGTCTAGACTCAGTAGGCCTCCAACTAATACTCCCCCTGCTTCAACTCCTGAACGTCAAGATTATAGGCGTGTACCACCACAACCAGCTTAATATTTTTCATACAAGTTACGTATAGATGACAGATTTGTTCAAATGATTCCCTGTCAAAATGGCCTATGATTTAATAATTGCTTCATTCAGAGGTTGTCTATACATATTTACTTAATAATCAAAGTGATAGTGTGCAGAGCAATACTAGTGCTCCTCAGACTTACACATGACTAGTTTTCCCCAAGTAGAGCTGAAATTATCTGGCAAACAATGGATTCCTATGTCGTCAGGTTAATTGCCAAATCTGAAAAACCCAGTAGAGGAAAATGATACCTGTGGTTTCTAATCATAAACATACAAGGTGGGGTGACCTTGAATGCTAAATTTCCAATTAAGAAATACAAATAAGTGGTGATATCACGTTTCACAACCAGCCATTGTTCCCTAAGCCTGGAGTTTTCCTTCTCTCCGAGAGGCGGTGAGGTGGAAGAGAGAGGCTGGTATCACTCCACACAGCACAGCACAGCTATTTTAACAGTTCCAATCTTCTTTCAAGAAGACATACTTGCTTCTCCAAAAAAAAGTTGCAAAGTTTTCTTTGCTTGCTGTTGAGAAATGGGCAAGGCAGGAAATGAGAGTATTTGTTAATTTCTCCCTCTCATCCCTGCCTTAGAAGTAACCACTCTAGACTTTAGCATACATGTATACATGTGGTTTTAATATACACTTTGCATTTATTATGGGAAGTTATTTTTCATGTCCTGTGATTGTCTAAAAAGATGAATTATCCTTTCCTTTTTGATTTCTAAGAGCTCTTTGTATGTGATATTTAGCTGCATTGGATTTGTAAGAGTGAGACTCACGTTGTGAGGAATAAACAAGTCTTGTGTGCATAGGGAAAAAAATAAGCCCTCCACCGAGTCCTGCATTGGTGCAGGGCACTTCCTGCATGCTGCTTAGTAGAGACAGCTTGCCATGATGGCACTGTGAGGAAACGTCCCTTTCACTGGCTGGATACAGTTCGCCACTCTTTGGCTCAGCTTAGTTGGGGCAGTCAGGTCTGGAATTGAAACCTGTTTCCCAGCAGGCATTGCTTCAGAGTTGTGCTTTATAAAAAAATGGATGTGCTCCATCAAGGAGATGGAGGAGAAAACCCTACCTTTTGCACTCAGGACTAAATGGAGGAAAATAGAACTTCCCTGAGGAGAAGTCCGATTCCAGCAGTGTTAGGTGGTATTGGTAACGCATGCTCCTTGTGATGTGAGGAGAATGGGACTTTCCTTCCAAGTTCCTCCTCCCCAAGCCACTGTGAGAAAAACTATCTACATCCACCCAGGCTGAAGAACAAATATTTGACCAGCACTTCTCAAAACTTGTTGTCATCATCAAAACCAAGAAAAGTTAGAGGAACTGTCACAGCCTGGGGAAGCCTAAAATAACGTGACTAGTAGATGTCACTGTGGTGTCCCAGATGAAGTCACAGGACACAAAAAGGTGAGGTTAAAAACAAAAGAAATGAAGCAAGTTCAAAGTTTAGTTAAAAATGTGTCCTTATTGAATTATTAGTTGAGACAGGTACTTCCTGGTAATAATATAAGACATCATTAATGAAGGATCTGGGTGTGAAACGTGTAAGGACTCTCGGCTCCACTCCTGCGAGATTTCTTTAAAGCTTTTTGTCATGGCTTCTTTTCCATATCTGTGATAAACACCGTAACCAAAAGCAACCTGGGGATGAAAGGACTTACTCCATCTTATAACTTATGGTCCATCATGACAAGAAGTCAGGGCCAGAGCTTAAGACAGGAATCCGGGGGCAGAAACTGAAGCAGAGGCCATGGAGGACAGCTGCTTACTAGCCTGCTCCCTGTGGCTTGCTCAGCCTGCTCTCTTATACCAGCCAGGATGGTGCCCAGAGTGGCACCACTCACACTGAGCTGGGCCCTGCCACATCCTTGTCACAGATGACCCTGTGTCTGTCAAGCTGACACATGACTAGAAGACACAAGAGAGAGAGAGAGGAAAGCAGTTACAGTTTGGATCAAGTTGAGTTAGATCTGGAAACTGTGTTCTCTGGGCCTAATGATCTGTTTGTTTCAGCTACAAAAATGGCTCTAAAGAGCGCTATCTCTTGGGATGAGAGTCTACACTTAAAATCCATGGGCATGGTGTAGTGTAACTATGATCCCCATACTTGAGAGGCCGAGGTAAAAGGATCACGGTTTGAGGCCAGCATGGACTGCATAGTAAGAACCTGTCTCCATAAACAAAAGTACAACAAATAATAATAACAAAAACACAGCACAGCGCAAAGCTACACAAAGAAACCCTGTCTCGAAAAAAACAAAACCAAAAACAAACAAACAAACAAAAAAACCACAGCACAGTCATAGTCCAACTTGCCCTTAGTGACTGACAGGAAGAGAACACATTTTTGGGGTATTCTAATAGAACAGTGGGACTTCTTAACCCCTAAATAAAGCAGTGAATTACACAGTAGCTGTGTGTAGAGAGGTTTCTCTGTGTCCCGCCCGGCCCCTCGGTGGGGATGAATCTCTCCCACCCATGATCCGCAGCCACTTATAAAATAATTACTCAGAGCCTTATCTCAATTACAAACTGTATGGCCTACAGCCTCAGCTCCTTGCTAGCTAGCTAGCTCTTTCATCTTAAATCATCCCATTCCCATTCATCTGTTACGGGTCTGCTGACATCCTGTTGCTCCTTCAGCAGCGAGCTCGAGTCTCTTTGGACTCTGACCTTCTTCTCTCTGTATCTCTGCTTGGATTTGCTGCCTGGCTGTAAGCCTTCTTGCCATAGGCCCAAACAGCTTTATTTATTATCCAATGGGAGCCACACACATTCACAGCACACAGAAAGACATCCCACAGCAGCTGTGTTCTTCCATGGCTTTTTGTGCCCATGCTCTCCCCTAGAGTTGGCACTTCTGTAGGCCTTCCTGTTCCTCAGGAACTGATCTCCAGGAGGGCCAAATCCAATGAGGCAGGAGAGAGTAATTTATGTGGCAAATTAGGTCATGGGATTCAGGAGCCAGGCCCCTCCCATGGGGGCCTGTGAGACAGAGGCTTGAATGAATATGTTTTTAAATCATAGACAATGAAGAATACAATTTGGAGCGTTGGAACATTCAGCTTGGTCTCAGAATATTACATTGAGATAATTGTCTCTTTCTCCCAAGGCTAATAAAGACGGAGACCCATGCTTTAATGGCATTTAATAAGGATGAATTCTGTCTTTTGTTTACACTTTCAAGCAAAGGCAGGGCAGGGGAGATAAAGAGGAGGAGTGATCTTATAGCCTGCCTTTGGTAGCCAGCTCCTGGCATGCTAGCCTGTTACAGAGGCCAACAAACAAACAACAAAATGGGCAAATACAAACCATTATTACGTAGTTGGGCAACAGGAGTTCTAAAATGTGGTTAGTCGCTTTCATGATGGCACTCTTTAGAACACTTCCATATTCATAGAAAGTCTTACCGGGCCACACTGGAGAACGGCTTTCTGGGGCCCCTCTGTTCTGCAGGCTCCTGACAAACTTGTCTTAGCCGACTCTCTGCACGGTCAGAATAGGCTACGCGCTGTGCCGTAACAAACTCCAGATACCAGCAGTGTCAGACAACAAGGTCCGCCTCTTTGCTTACACGCCCAGTGTAGGATTCAGACTGAGAAGGGATTCTCACCCCTGAGAGAGGAAAAGAAAACTGTGGCTCTTGTACCAACAACTAACACACTAGACCATAAATTATGTCATTTCCACTCACCTTTTTAGCCAAGACAAGCCATAAAATTCCAGTAAGAGAGCGGAAAAATTTCTGGAAACAGACCATCCAAGAGTCTGTCTGTTGACACAATGGCTTATGTACTTCCTTATGGATTCATGCAACAGATACTTGAATATATGCAAGGCATGGCAGCAAGCCCCGGCACATGGAGATGACCAAGTAGGCATGGCTCTTCTGACGGAGCTTTCTGACCATTTGCCAGGACAGTGAAAGAGCAATTAAAGTGAGGGAGGATGAATGTTCTGATAAGGAAAGAACATGATGCTTCTGTGTTAGCAAAACGGGCAGTGTTTGTGCTCATCAGAGAGAGCTAGGACTGTGAGGATTTGTCCTCACAAAAGGGACTGGGACAAGCAGGGAGTGGGAGGGTCCGGGACAGCCTCTGAGTAGGGGGTCTGGGACAGCCACTGAGTAGGGGGTCTGGGACAGCCACTGAGTAGGGGGTCTGGGACAGCCACTGAGTAGGGGGTCTGGGACAGCCACTGAGTAGGGGGGTCCGGGACAGCCACTGAGTAGGGGGGTCCGGGACAGCCACTGAGTAGGGGGGTCTGGGACAGCCACTGAGTAGGGGGGTCTGGGACAGCCACTGAGTAGAGGGTCTGGGACAGCCACTGAGTAGGGGGTCTGGAACAAGCACTGGGGGAGGGTTGGGACAGTCACTGAATGGGGGGTGCTCTCTGTATGCCTCTTGCCCCTCCATTTGCATACGTACTCTGTTTCTTAGGACAACCATAGCAAACATCTAGGTAGTTCCCGGGAGGCAGCCGTCCTGCCTGTGTAGTTATTTGCAGGTCACCAGGGAGTGCATCTTTGTGGACACATTGACTCATGCTCCCAGAATTCACCACCGAACTTGGCACCGGTGTTTCTGATACAGAGTCCAAGCTGGCAGCAGGCTGAGAGCCAGCAGACCTCTGGATTTCACCCTCAGCAGGTCACACCAGGGCAGCCAAGAATCCAGGGCCACCTCAGCAGGCCTCTGTGGTTTTGAGAGTGAAGCAGCAGGGATTTGGACAGGAGGTGTTGCCTGGCTTCCCACTGCTTGCTTCCAGGGTCTCTGTGGGCACTGCCACTAACCTCTTCAGACATGCTCATTCTCAGAGCAGGACGTGCGGCTCAGTGCCACAGACCAGTTCCTGCCATCTCGGCACAAATGTATGACATTCCCATTTCAGTGAAGTGATTATTTTTCCTCACTAAAAACCATTCAAAATGGTGTGCTGGGCTTCAGGCCAGGGCTGTAAGCAGGGGCTGGGAGATGGGCTTCTGACCGTGGACTGTGGGGCCAGGCTTCTGGGTTTGCTTCCCAGCTCTGCAGCACCCACCTAGGCACCTAGGCCGGTGGTTCTGCCGCCCTGTGCCTGCTTGCTCATTTGTGAAGTGGTGATAGCTGTCATGCCTACACCAATGGTGGTACGGGTGGCACTGGCTGAAAGCGAAGAGCTTTGAACCGTGCTTGGCACCAGTGAGCCAGCAGGATCACCACCGTGCGGTTGTGGGTCACCACCATTCCTGAAACCCTGCTGAAGTGTTTGGAGCACACTCCTCTGTGGTAGGGTCGGGGAGGACACAGCCAGGCAAGCATGTGTTACATGGTGCCCAAGACAGAAGTTCAGTGAGCCTGGGCTTCAGGCCTGACTCCGGAGTTGGGCCTCGCCCTTTCCGAACTGTATGGTTTTAGGTGAATTACGGAGCTCTCCAGGCTTCATCTATAAGGGGTGGCTAATGATTCCAGCACTCAGGCGGAGACTCAGAGAGCAGATGAACACACCCCAGGGCTTAGAACCTCGTGAGTGCTCAGCATCGTCTGGCTGTAGGAGTAGCAACAGGAGGAACTGAAAATGAGGCCCCAGGAGCCTGTGAACTGGCGGTGAGGCCCAGGAGCCTGTGAACCTGGCAGAGGGCTGTGTTTGAAGATGCTGGCAAGTAGAAGCAGGGTCTTCTGAGGAGACGTCATGGAGGATTTCTTCTAGGAGGCACAATGGAACCTGCGCCCTAACAAATGGACATGCCATATAACCTCTCAATCTTGCTTTTTTCATTTGGAAAAAAAAGAGCTAGATGCCTGCCTCATGGGGCTCTTGTTCACCTCCTAGCATTGCTAGTATGACTGCTGTTCTTAAGTCTCCTGCAATGGCAGAGTTATTTTTGCTGAGGCACAGTTGATGCACAAAGAACTACACAGATTTTATACATGCAATTTGAATTTGAACATAGGCAAATATCTGTGAAACTAGCACCAGGCTCAACATCAAGGTAATAAATATATCTACTCTAACACCTCCCAAAGTACTATGACCCCGGGTGGTAGTGTTGCAGCTGTGGTTATTGGTGTTGGTGGCAGCGGCGGCTGTGGCGGCGGTGGTGGTGGTGGTGGTGGTGGTGTGTGTTGGGAGTTGAACCTGGAACCTTGTGCACAAGAGGAAGCACTCTACCACTAAACCACACTCTAGTTCTTGTGTTTTTATTTTATGCATGTAGTAAGAGCACTTCACATGAGACCTAGCCTATCAATAGCTTTGAAGTGCACAATACCATATTGTTAGCCAAGTACTTTATTGCACAGTGCTCTGAAAATTTACACCTGGTGAGCTGTATTCCCCTTCCCACCTGGGGATGGTGTTCTCATTGTGTTCTCTGCTTCTGTGTGCTGACTCTAATAGAGAGCTCATACAAGTACAGCTGTTGCCAGCAATCTTGATAGCCCAGGACAGAGAAAGGGCAGAATATTGGCTGGTGGCCTGGACCTTTCTGAACCAGTCCTGCAACCTGGTGGCTGGAGTCCAGAGGAAGACGTGATGCTTCAGGTGGGAATGTGCAGAAAATGAATCCACTTTTTGTCAGCTGACTCCTTCTTTCCTAGCGGCAAATTCCACAGTTGCTAAGGGCACCTTGGGACTCACATCTCTGTCGTGAGAACAGATGTGTTTGTTGCCTAGGATGCTTGCTAAGATACCCAGCCCAGGGAATACTCAGAGGTAACGAAAGCAGCAGCTGCCACCACCTCTGCAAGGCTTTGGCTGCTGTAAAAACCTTACCACTCAGTTTCCCATTTCAGGGCAGACCTTCCATCACACAGACTTCTCACCTGTGTGCTGTCCATCACCCTGACTCCTGGGATACTAGCTGGTTATCAACAGAGACATTTGGACAGGTCACTTGGGAGCACAACGGTCACAACAGAGTAAAACCCAAACGACTCTGGTTTCATTTACCAGCAGCCTGAGCTGCGTTCACAGGGGCAGTACTACTGATGCATCTGTAGGAAGCAATTCAGTTGATAAAGTCACCATCAGTGACCTTTCAGACTCAATCTGCCAGCACCTCAGAGGAGATGACTTCTGAGGGACCATCTTTTGAAGCTCCTGTTCCCCTATCAGCCTGGGTCCTGGAACTGTAAGGTGCCAGTGGGTGGAGAAGTCACCTCCACCCAACACTGGCGTGGTTATACCTCCGCAAGCCCGTCTCGCTAACTGAAGAGTATTTGGACTTAAAAACACCCCATCACCTTATTATAATTCTTGCTTTTGCCGACCACCATCCAGCTGAATCAGAGACTCAGGGCCACCTACATGTCTGGATGCAGAGACAAGAGGCAAGAGAAAAGCGCAGGAAGACCAGTAACATTCACGGACGCATTACATCACTGCAAATTTGTCAGGACCCAGAAACCCTCCACAAAACACCACTGATAGATGACCACTTAAGGAGCTTCCTGGGGGATCATGAAAACTTACTTAAGACGGCACTTGTAGATTCTTTAAGAACCAATCATTCTGAGACACACGTTTACTTCCAAGCTCCTTTTCTCAGAGGCTTGTGGCTCTGAGTCATGTGTATCAGAGGTAAAGGGGGACACGTGAGACATGTGAGATCAGCTGAACCTGCTCTCTGGGGATGGGACCCAAGACTCTACAGTATTATAATGCTCTCCGGGTGGCCGCAGGCTCAGCTGGCACACACAGTGCCTGTGTAGGAGCTCACTGGGTTCTCACAAGTTTCACAAGTGGGTGCTGGCATTGCTCCTTCCCACTGAGCAGGTGAAGAGACGGTGGCATTTCCAAGTACTGCCTGAGATTACCTGCCGATAGGTTTCGAGGAGCTGATGTGAACCCAGGCCATTTGGCTCCAAAGAGTACGCTCTTAGCCAGCAGGTTAATTTCCTCCTGAAACATGGGAAACATAAGTTTGTGGCAAAGACCCAGACTGTAAAGCAGCCATGAGGGACCTCTACGAAGAGGTCTGTAATGCTTCCTGGAAACCAAGTAAACAGCCTTTCCAGGCAAAGGCTTACCAAAATATTCCCCTGGAAAGTGAAGACTTTCCTTCTCCTCCATGGACTGCCTGAGGGTAAGAATTCCCAACTTTCTTCCCATACTCATCCAAACTGAGTGGAGTGCTTGGCTGAACCTGAGTAGACAGGAAGGGAGTGGATACTGGAGCCTTCTGTTTGGAGCTGAAGTTCAGTTGTTGGGTCACGTGACTGACATGTGTGCATGGGTAGGAAGGCTTATCCCATGTCTGGACTAAGTTGCTGCTCTGTTCAATGCCTGTCACCAAGCTGGGGAGAGAGGAGCTGCTGGGAGGGGAATGGGGGTCTTCCCCAAGTTCCTCTCCTGACTCCAGCCCTGGGACGCTATGTAAGTGGTTTCACTTCCCTCTGGGCCTTGGCCACCTCTCTATAAAGTCAAGAGAGTTCGATTTCATTTGAGGCCGTCTCAGTTCAGCCAAGAGATGTGTTTTGTTTGGAACTCATAATGCTTTCATTTTTTTTACACTAATTGCCAACATATAAAAATTGGAACCATTTGCATACAAATGTGTTTTGGGGGGTTTTGGAAGCCCATTAAGAGCTCTTCTTGTTGGGCATTCCAGGGGCTGGAGCTGAGAGGCAGCTGATCTCAGTAGGGGGAGGGATCTCTCCCAATCCTGCATCCCACTTGTCCAAGGTGACCTCCAAAGTCTCTTCTAGAACCTGAGATCTTAAAACCTGTGAGGTAGGGAGCAAGTGTTAGAGATTCAGGCTCAGCCCATGTTTTCCTATAAAGAAAGGCAGGATCAAAGTAAACAGCAAATGGTGATGTTCTCTGTTAGCCGTTTGTCTAGGTTTTATCTTTAACCTTGACACATACAATTATAGCCTTTGGCACACTCTCCATGCATT